CTGTTCTTGATGTAGGTGCATCTTTTCTCGATAGTTTATTTTTTTGTTCTTCTCAATAGCCCCAGTCTTTTGGTCCCAGTCATCAAACCCATGAAATATTGTTTATGATTTATGTAATGTCACTGTTTTTGAAAAATCATATTATTGACTTGTGTCTAGCCCCAACAGGCAACTATTAAGCCCGACCAATCACGTTAGAGTTTTTGACCAAACACAAATGAATTAACACCCTCCAAATAACCACGCTAACCAACATGATTGGTCAAGCTTAATTGTTGCCTGCTGGGGTTAGACACTTCTTATTATTATCTGTTGGCTGTTGGACAGTTACTGTAGCAGAGATGGTTTTAAGTCCAGAAGTTGTATCCGTTATAGTTGCTTTTATGGAAGATGATAGAGATCAAAATTATGTCGTTAACAGAATTAGATGTGCACGAAATACAGGGCAGTCGCTTCCTCTAGGCAAGTTCATATGTTATGTCGGGTCCAGACCAAGGCGACAAAAAGTAAACACGATTTTGACAAAAACAAGACAAACTTGCGACAAAAAATGGGGAATTCTGACAAGACAAACTTGAGACAAATTGTCCACACCGCAAGGACAAAAGTACAACAAAGTCAAAAGTTTAGTTGTTGCGAATGAGTTTTATTAACCATGTGTGATTTCACTGGTCTCCTACTGTTGGCAGCACACGCCATCCATATTGCGCCGACAACTTGTCGTAAAATATACGAACAAAACATAGACACTTTGACGTGACACTCGAGACGGGACATTGAAAAGTCTCCGAATTTTGAACGAAAACAAAAATGAGACAAAAATGTCGCAGAAATGTATTGGATTTGTAGTAAAACATGAATGTTTCTGTCTTGTCGTTGTTTTGTCTGCTTGGTCTGGACCCGGCATTAGACGTCCAGAAACATTCATATGAGAAGTTCGAATCGAGACGATCGATTTACTGTAAGTTTATTACAATGAAACCGAAAACAACGAACCAATAGAAAAAAAAAAATGATCAAAACGTAAGGCGAAAAAATACGCAAAAAAAATCCACCCGGGCCCCTCCTCACAATGGCTCCCAGTCTCAGTCCGACCCTGCCAATTTGTAATAAATTACACCTAAGGAACGCACATTGTCGGTAAACATTGGTAAACGGACTGCATGAAGAAGATTAAACAAAGCAAATTTTATGTCAAGAAGGCCTGCTACTAACTGAGATTTGTTGACTGAGAACTGGGACTACTAACTGAGATTTGTTGACTAGGATCCAAAGCAAAGGCATATTTTTATTGTAAAATTACGAAAAAATGTTACAATATTCTTCAAAAGCGAATATCTCTAACAAAAATAAAGCTATTGGGATCCAGCAAAAAACAAACTATCGAGATAGGATATAACTAGATGATAAAATGATTTTTAAATTCCTTGCTGTCTTAACATATACCACAGGATGTTTCACTCAACTTTTCCAAAAACTTTCACCAAAATATCAACATTTTGTGTTCCCTCGTATAACTGAAAGATGGAAACTTCTATATTTAATTTAGAGAGAGATACTTAAAAATTCAAATAATTTAGCTTTACATGTTGTTTAAAGAATCATTAAAATCGACCCATTAGCATTAGAACTAGAAAAAAATATATTAATCTTTAAAATACATCAAAATTTTAAAGTGTCGTTTTTCGCGCCAGTGAGTGTAGGAAAATTATATTTAGTATTAATTAATATAATTACTGTAATAAAATATACACTAATTTTATATTATAATAATTATTTTTGGACTAATATCTTTCTTTAATACAATACAATTTTTATGACAAAATGGTGAAGGTATATTTTATTGTTTCTAAAAATTATCCTTCGCCAAAACATTGAAAATTATGGTGTATTGCTATTAACTTTTATATATTTATTTTTTAATTTTCAGACGAAAATTTTTTTATTAAAGTGGTGTATATAGGTATACTAATTAATATAGTATAATTAACTAAGAAAGTTAACACATTACAAACGTAATAAAATGTACATACAATAAATAAACCACATATAATAAAATTATGTACCTAATATCACAGATAACATAAATATATATTATATGTTATCTGTGCTAATAGCAAAATATACCACTAGTTATTTTGCTTTTGTAACAATGATTACAACCCCAACTAAATTTATATGCCTAATGTATTATAATTTCAAGAATATAAGAAAAATGGAATAATTTTATTATTCTGTTATTATTACTTACAATTAGGAAGATTATTTAAATAAATATATACAAGGTGTCCCAATATTCTGTGGACATAGAACTACTACGTATTTTGGGAGTCAAAATAACACACCACACCAAAAACACAATTTACCTCTATACTAAAGTACTTCGTTTGTCCGCTAGAGGGCATTAAACTTAAAAAAATAGATATTTTAAAAACCCTTATTCTGATTTGAATGAGATTTTGGGTGTCTATGTTTTGCTAAGTGCTCTAACATTTAGCTTTTACAAAACTCAAGAAAAAATAGGCGAAGGGTGTAAACTACCCCCTCTCCTACATAAATTTTAGCATAAATAATTTTCAACTCCACCGACAGCCGATTTTCTTTTCGTAAAATTATACTTTAGTATTTAGTACATTTTTTGTCTCTTGTAAAAAAACGCCACCGTGCATACTTTTTCAGGAAAAAAAATGTTTTTCCAAAACCGACTTCCAAAAATGTTTTTTGTCAGAAGCTATGGATATTATTATGCTCTAATAGTCAAGTTGGCAAAAATATGGAATTTTATATTAGTATCAAAAATTATATTAGTCAAAAAATAATTTTTAAATTAATTAACATTAGGGTTTATTTTTGATTGATGCCCTCTAATGGACAAACGAAGCGCTTTTATAAAAAGGTAAATTATGAAAAAAGATTGATTCAAAAAATACGTAGTTGTTCTATGTCCACGCAATATTGGAACTCGCTGTATATTTTGTAGGTCTGCTTTGGAAAAATAAATTTTCAAAAAAAGTTTTTCACAAAAACTATGCGATGTAGCCTTTTTTTTACAAGAGACAAAAATGTAGTAAATAATAGAGGGTAGAGGGACCATTTTACGAAAAGAAAATCTGTCGTCGGAAGTGTTGGAAAATATTTACACTAAAATTTATGTAGGGGTGGGGGTAGTTTTCATCCTTCCCGTACATTTTCTTGGTTTTTGTCAAAGCCAAATGTTAAAGCTCATAAAACTCAGAATAAATCAGATTTTCTCTATTACATTTTAACAACGTATTTTACAACAATATTATTTTTAAATTTTTAAATAAACGTAATATTTCGAAAATAAAATTTATAGATTTTACATTTAAGTAATTTTAAAATTAAGTAATAAGTTAAAAATTTTAGTAAAAAATCTTTAAAATTTTTATAACATAAGTGCATTTCTTGGTGACCATTATTATTAATGAATTATTTTCTTTGGGCAACGATTTGATTTTGATTAGTTGGTGATACCACAGATTATACAGATCATAATCTTTGTTTTTTCTTTATTGTTTTTCGTGGTTCCAATTTTCGGAATCGGGCACTAGTTAGGTGACTAGTTTGCGCACATAGCACGCCCATTTATGGCCTCTAAAATTGTGCACAGCGCCTGACCGGCACAGTTATTAGAGAGATATCGGAAAACCGAATAGCGTCATCCAGTATTTATACCTTATCATGGTTACGATATGCGCGAGTCAATTTTTAACGCAACACCTGCTAATAACGTTACCGCCTGACGTAATTTAAAAAATTGCTTAAATGGGCATGTGACAGCGGGCCGGCGAGATCTTTTATTTTAGGTTATGTTTGAATTGTTTTGAATTATTGCTTTAGTTTTATTAGGTAATTTGATATTTAAGTAGCTGGGATTAGTTTTAATTAAATAAATATGGCCCAAAATATGGATTCCACCTCTTCCAATACTAGAGAACCTATAAAGAGTCTTAGGTTTACAGCAGATGACGACTTAGCCATTCTAAGAGAATTTATTGCTAGTTGCCCTAAACCCACTGGCAGACGTTGAACAATAAAGCACTGGAAATAAGCACTTTAGCCCTTTAGTTTTAAAATACCTAGTAAACAAAACAATTTCAAAGTTTTAAATTCAAATTTAGGTTAAGTTTAAATAGCGAACGCGACGCGATCAGCAGGGGGATTCTGTAAGCTCCGTAGCAAGAAATTTCCTGTCTAGCCTATGCTATTTCTATACGATTGATGAGTCACTAGACAAGAGAAGTGTTTACAGAATCGGGCCTCAGAATTCTTTCCGATCCGATAACTATAAATGAAGAGAGTTAATACCACCTCACGTAAAGGAAATAACACCTGGCCTTATTAACGTCCATGCACGCTATTCGGTTTAGCGATATCTCTCTATGACGCTGTTTATTATTATTTTACGCGAGTTTATTTTTGCGCACAGGAAATTTAACTCGTTTGCACATCGTCATAAAAAACAATTTTCGTACCACGAATTAGGGACAAGATTTTTATCTGTATACTTATATGATACATAATCTGTGGTGGTACGTACATGTATTTTGATTTTCTTTGTTTTTTTTTCAAAAATGTGATTTTTTTAATTTTTCAAAAATCAGACTAGAAATATTTCGTTATATTTCAGAATAACAAATGTAAATGTTACTAATAAAAATAAGCATTAATATGGCAAAATAGAAACAATTTTGTGTGTTCTTTAAATCTAAGTACAAATTATATATTTTATATTTTAAAAACAAATGACGAATGCGCCAGAATTTAATAGTTTTTAAAATACTACACTATTCTTACTAAGATGTTAACAAAAAATTAATAAAATACATATATTACGTAGAGTTATATTTATTTCCTTATATCACCTGATATTTATATACTCCCCCATTAAAACATGATATTCATGGAAAAAATACTAATTACCACCAACAATATACTTCGCCTGTCACTCTCATATTCTCAAGGACTATGTACAATAATATGCAAAATTGATTTATTTTTAATATATTAACAACTTTGATACATTTAGTTACATGCTTATTTGTAAGATTATATGTAATAGGCAAATAAAAATGAAAGTAAATGTATCTACACTAAGTACTCATATATTTTTATTTCTATGTACAAAAATATCTGATATTTACAATGACTAATGTTTTATTCTTTATTTAAATAAATACTCTAAATTTCTACGCTAAGGGTGATTGATTTATATGTAAAATTAACAAAAAAGTGTTGGGTATCTAGTAGTATTTATAAGCATACTCTGGTGTTTGTTTTTCTTGTATCTTATGTACTTTGGCTTTCACTCCTGACTTGGCTAAGTTAGCCGCCGTCTTAATAGCTACTTTAGTAATGAATTCTAGAGTTTGCTGAGTCAGCACCGCTTTCAAATCGATGGCTTTCTCGACGGCCTTGCCGAAGATGGCGGCAACCTTTCCTTTCTTGTAAGCTACTTTTTTATCCAAGTACTTGTTGTAAGCGTCTTTAAGAACCTTCTCCTCGTACTTCTTCTGGTGCTCCTTCTGGACGTGGTTGTAATATTCGATAGCTTCAGGTGGCCTCTCTACGATCTTGATTTCCGGTTGGTACGCGTAGCCGGTCGGTACTACATAGGCTCTATCTAATTCTGCTCGTTCACCTAGAGAATACAAAAAAAATATTATTAAACAATATTTCTGTAACGGATCCGTCTCAAAAGTGACTCACCCCTATAATTTTTTATTTTTTAGACAAAAAAACGAGATTTGGTATGCTAGTATATGAGATAAATTAGCATTGATTGACGTATTCAATTGTTTTTGCTCACTTCCTGTTTCAACGGAAAAAAAACTTTTGATTTTTAAATGGCACCCTAGGTATATTTCTACTGTATTGGATAGAAAATGAGACTGAATAGAATGGCATATCATATGTCAATTTTTGTCATTTTCGCTTACAAAAAAATTGTATTTTAAATTTCAATCTAGAGTGCCATGGCTGTGATAAAAACACTAATTTTGAATTGGAAAAATAGATTTGATAATCTAATGTTTTTCGTGTCTTGTCCTGGCCGGTTAATAGATGCCCAAGTCGTTTTTTAATCATATCTCAATTTTTTCAAATAGAACAAGGGTGGCTCATTAGCATATTTGGAAAAAAACATTTTTTTACTAATAACTTGGTACCAGATACATGGTATTTCGAGTCAAATTGTCGTTATGAACCGCATATTACCATTTCAAATAATACATATATACGAAAATGTGAAAAGTTGACACATGACATGTCATTCTATTCAGAGTATCATTTTCTATAGAATAAAGTAAAAAAATACCGAGAGTGCAATTTAAAAATCAAAAGTTGTTGTTATTTCCGGTGAAACAGGAAGTGACCGAAAACAATTGAATACGTCAATCAATCTTAATTTATGTCATATACTAACATAATAAATCTCGTATTTTTAATCTGAAAAAATAAAAAAGTTATAGGGGTGAGCCACTTTTGAGATGCACCCTGCATACAGTGTTTTCCAACAGTGCGTCAGGCACTCGGTCAGGCATCTGTAGCACAAATTACCTATAACAGATGCGAAAGAACACCGAATTACGCGTTCAGGTTTCTGTGACCTTCAGAAAGAGTTCATAGACAATCCGCATCAATGTATAGTTTGGGTTATTATTGTTTGGGTGAAAATAATCTGCACCAATATGTTATCGAGGCATACAAAAAGGTCCACAGACTTCGAGACATACGAAAAATCAAGTCCATTTAGCGTGTGTCGCAATTTTCAGACCTTAAAAAATTAGTTTTTTTTTATAGCTATAGCAACTGCAGCGACTATGAAAAAAGCTGTGTGATTTTCCTAGAAAATAAGGGCACCTGTAATTCATTTGAGAATGTTATAAATCGCTAAAAGAGGTTTCAAATCTCTTGGATTTCTATTAATATTAAATAAATTTTATTAAAAATTGAACTAAAATTGTTAGTATCATTAAAAACAATTCAAATTCAAAAATTGTATCAGTCAAATTCCCTCATTTAAGGTGAATATTAAAGTAAATATAAATACAGTTCATTCTAAGCTCTACTTATCTTTAAGAAAAATTTAAATCATTGTTGCAATTGGGCCTTAATGCCATTTCGAATGAACAATAGTATTAATAATGTACATTATAATAATAATAAATTTTATATCATAGTGTGTATTAAAACTACTAAAACACTTTTAAATTGGTATTATATTAACAACTTTTGTTTTTTAATCCAAAAAAAGTTACCAATTTTTTCAATCAAAATATTTGTAGTCCTGAAAAAGACCTTCGTTTTCCCATGTTCGTCAAGGTAGGTAATGGGTAAACGGTAAAAAAACAGGATAATGAAATTTAAAAAATTACAAAAATTGTTCAAAAGTGCCTCCCTCTTGCATTAAACCAAACGATCATAAAATCCCCTCCTCACATTGGATAACATATCAGGGGTGACAGTGTCAAAGACATTAAATATTTTCTGCCTGAACTGCTCCAAGTTTTGAATTTCTTCATGGCCGTAAATTTTAGATTTTATGTACCCCCATAAAAAGAAATCATTCACCGAGAAGTCAGGTGAAATTAAACGTCAGTCTAAACAAAACTGTCATTTTTGAAAACTTGTCAAAATTTGGACACACGCTAAATGGACTTGATTTTCCTATGTCTCGAAGTCTGTGGACTATTCTGTATAATCTCACAGTAATTTAATAGATTGCTCGTCATATTATATCAGCTCGTAGGAGATTAGGAAAAAAAAAAAAGATATTTATAGTATAAAAATTAATTTATTGAACAAAATTTAATTAAAGATGTGACAAAATAGTTACATTTCTATTGGTTCTATCGGACTTTTTCGACTATATAAATCTTTATTTTTGTAAACTTTAATGCATAAAATATTTTCAATCTAATAAATAATTTAATGATGTAAATAAGAGGAAATTTCTCACATGGGTGGTCAAATTCTATAGTTTTCATTATATCAAACAGCCTCTGAATATTTTCTTCAGTGCAAAACTCATCAAAATTTAATATAAATAATTTTTCCAGCCTGTAAATAAAATGAACAAATTTTTCCACTTTCATGATCAAAGGCTTTTAAATGGGTAAATAATTTCGAGTTATCCAGAGATTCGGATTCTTTTGCAAATTTTAGACAAATATCACATTGATGTATTTGAAGACCCTTTTTAATGATGTAGTCAAACATAATTAAAGGCATTTTGAGTTGAAAACATTTCTCAGAGGCTGTTTGATATAATGAAAACTATAAAATTTGACCACCCACGTGAGAAATTTCCTCTTATTTACATCATTAAATGATTTATTAGATTGAAAATATTTGATGTATTAAAGTTTACAAATAAAGATTTATATAGTCGAAAAAAGTCCGATAGAACCAATAGAAAGGTAACTATTTTGTCACATTTTTAATAAAATTTTGTTAAATAAATTAATTTTTTATACCATAAATATCTTTTTTTTCCTTATAAATAAACACATTTGCATCCCATTTTAAATAAGATATACAAATTACCAAAACTTAGAAATAACAGTTCAAAAGTTCAACAAAAATCCTACACGCGTTTTTAAAAAGAAACATATAACCACGCACAATGTCATTCCAGCAAGCGAATACGACACAGCATAGGTTTCCGGACTAAACGACTGGTGTATTTACACCACTCAATAGGCGTGTCGAGTTTGCCAAGCGGTTTCCGATGCAGTCGCTTTCTTTCGCATCTGTTATAGGTAATTTGTGTCTGTAGGTTCTATAAAAAAGAACTTATAACAATTTTGATATTGGAGCTTCTACAGGGTGGATCGGGATATTTTTTGTAAATGGAACAACCTGTATAATATTTTTTGATAGATGGAGAATTAAAATATAAACATTTTGGTGTTATGATAATTGAAATGTTTTAACGGTTTTGCAGATATTCGCTGTATTTATACATGCTCTATCAATGGTAAAATATCTAAAAAATTCATTGGGTGCTTTGATAGAAATTTACTATTGGAAAAGCCATATCTGCGAAACCGTTAAAAATTTTGAAACGTGTACTCTAAATACAAAAAAATGTTCCTTTTTTAATTCTCCATCTAACAAAAAAATAATATACGGAATCCATTAGAGGAAAGAAACAAAGAAAATATATTTTTTATTTTGGAAAGTTTGGGTATAGAATTTTAAACACTCTGTATGGTTAAAGATTACGATATTTATAGCAAGGTAAGTAAAGACCAACTATAGTAAATACCTGCATAGTTTTGAGTTCAGGATATTTTTTGTATTTTTAATAATTAATTTGTTTAAAAAAGGTTTAAAAAGATTTTTTTATTAATATTTCTGAAAATTTCAAAACATGTTTAATAATATCTTAGGATTATGTAAAGTGATCATAAAGGCAGCCAAAAATGCAATAATATACAGAGTGTTATCCATTTAAAAAAATCATCCCTATCCACTCACACTTTTTTGAGCCACACTGTAGAAGTTAAAATATTTTCCTGATATACGTCTTAATACATAATTTAGGTTTGCGCTTATACCCACTATAATCTTAAATAAGAACTCTATATACAGGGTGAGTCTTGAAAAAGTACAAATATATTTTGGGGATGATAATTCGACCCCAGAAACACGACTATGAGTTTTTTATAGCCATTTTTTTAAATTTTGGAATTTTTTGCAAAAAGAAAATTGATTTTTTTTTAAATTTTAATAAATATATTAAATTTACAAGAAAGAAGATCCAGAAAATATAGATTGGTTTTCAAAATTTAAACATTTTTTTTAAAGTAAAATAACTCGGTTCTTTTGGACTTATTTGAAAAATGTTAAAGAGTTTCTTTAAGCGAGAAATGTTTCTTTTAAGGCGGACTCTGACTCTGACGACTCGTGTACTTGACAAACATTTGTTATTGGGATATACCGTATAATACCATAAGGTGCCCGGTGACGATGGCGTAGAGATACAGGCTCTCTTCTACCAATCTCAAAGGTGTGGGTTAGAATCCTACACCCGGCATTGGATCAGCCGACTATTTTTATTAAAATAAAAATAGTTTGGGTACTTAGGTCGACTCAGCGTTAAATGAGTAGGTACTTGGGATTCACAATCCTGAGGTAATAATAGGCGGTTGAAGCGTAGTGCTAGCCACATTACCTTCCTTGTATACCGAACGGCTCTAGCATTGCAAGCTGTACCTTGCTACTCCCACAAGGCGTTAAAGGCTATATACGGGAGCTATATATTTGTTAGAGAACATGTTATGTAACAGTAATACCGTATGATCGAAAAAAAAACGGCGTCAGCGATGGCTATGAAATGAAGATAGCTGTCATTTTATATGTAAAATTATAAGGGGAATGTCAACGGTCATCATTTCCAAGCCAACTGAACGCCGTTTTTTTCGGTCATACGGTACTTGCCATGTTGTGAGAGTGGTTTCCTTGTGCAATTATTTGTCACGGGAGGATTGTTGAGCGCCAAGCATGTTGCAAAAAACTGTTGTTTACAAGGATAGTCTACTTCCCAAGTACGCAAATATTGGCGTACTTGCCAATTGCCCGAGTCGTCTGAATCGGCCTTTATCGAGATGTACCACCTCTGAAAATATCTACTTG